TAAGTCATTAAAATGCACAGCCACATTACTTCATGTGGGTTAACAAAGTATGAAAACATCTAATAAATTCATGATTCATGGCAGTACTTTGAAAAACAGCACACATACTTCTAACCGAGGTACATTTTATTTGAAAACCACAATGTATGTTGCAGACTTTCTTAACATAAATAGTCTACTTTTCAGAGGTGCTGAAAAACAGCAACTACTATAAAAATTGATGGGGCTCACACCAAGGTAATGTAGTGTCACTTGTCCAACTCATTTACTCTTATAAGTACAGTTACTGTGAAGACATGCACGCTTCAGTCTCAAACTATGTTCACAGCAAACTCACAGTTTCCGGTAGGTTTAAAAGGCAACAAGAGACAAGCAGCTTTACACTGCTAGTACAATATGTCACTGAAGTATCTGAGAGCAGAGTCAGAGAAACCAACTTGACTAGTGCCAACCCCGGTGAAGCGGGTACTGCAGGCAGTTGTTTGTGCATTTCCTTTGTCAGAGATTAATATCCTTTTCTAGCAAAAGCTTATTCTTCCTTTTTTTCCTTTTCCTTTTTCCCCTTTCCTTTTCCTTTTTTCTTTTTCCTTTCTCCACCATTTCATCAAAAAACAGAAAAACAGAGAGAATGATGGGGCTAAAACAGAAATAACCTTCAGTGGGGCTGAAGTGAGATAGGGACATCCAACAGGGAGCAGTAAATATTTCCACCAAGATGATGGTGATGATGAGCGGGTTAGTCTGTCCAGCTGTGCCTCACAGCCCAGTGAACTCTACGAGTCAGGCACATTCAGGAAGGATGACTGCAGTGAGAATGAGCAGGGGAACAGAAAGCTTCTCTTACAGAAGGAGGCTAATAGACACAGGTCTGGTCAGTGTGCAGCAAATAAAGACAAGGAGGAAAGAGGATGGTTCTTCATTAGTGCAACCAGGAATGAAAACCAAGAAAATGGTCACTTAAGCTACAGGACAAAAGTTATTTAAAAACAAGCTGGTATAAAATTCTGTCAGTTCAGGTTAGGAATCAGGCAGAGGTTTCTAAAGAGCAAAGCAAGTGAGGCCCTGTAGAACCCCCCAGCAGTTACTTTGGCTACAGCTGCCAGCCAAGTGTTCAGCCTAACATTTGTGGGGAAGCAATATTGTGGCTGTCCCCATCTCAGTCTGCCCCTCGTATCCTCTGTCACATCCCCATTGCAGGAGCTCACAGACGGGCACGGCTGTTACACAGGACAGACAGCCAGGAGCAGCACCAAAGCATTGGTTCCAGAACATCAACTGATGATCGTGGGACTTGCATGTGGGAAAAATGGTAAGGAGCCAGAGACAGAGGATGAAACCAGAAGGGAAGAGGCTGATGTGAGGGCGATGTAGCCGGCTTCGTTCTGATTTCCTAATCAAGGCTTAGCAGACATGATTTGACGTTAGACTGTTCTGACATCGGGGATAATCAGGCCAGCTAAGTTCAGATCTTGAACACGTGAAGAAGGAAGCCACGCAAAGAATAGTGTTGTAATGTTTCAAATGACATTTTTCCTGCAGCGGGAGAACCTTTGGTAGGGCTGGGATGGCAATGACCAATGGAGAACAATAAGCATTCTAACCCAAATCAGCATCACCAGCTCTCTAACTATAAAAAATAATTAATTTGTTTAGCACTTCAAGCTCAGTAAAATACAAAACCTCAGAGGCCATCTGCACTTGAAAGCTCTTTTGGATTAAAGCAGTGCAGGAATTTACACTCCCCAGGTTCCCTTTGCATACTTAAAGTGCAGTTGATTTTTACTCCAAGAAAGACAGGTTTTCGTAACTTAATACATTTTCAAAGTGGGGAGTGTCCACACCTGGAGTTACTCTGAAATAACTAACTACCCACATAGGCAAGCCCTAGCAGTAACACTGGACGTATTTTCAGTGCTCAAGCACAGAGCCTGTGAGCATTAACTCACATACTCCATTTCATGCAGATGAATGTATCTATCAGGTTTCATAGGGTTGCTCATGCACATGCCAAAACATTTACAGGACTGGAGCCCTGCTTTGTAGAAAGGGATGTGTGTTGTGCCCTCGAGTACCACCTTAAAGAAAAATACTAATCCCCAGATAGGCTGCTAGTGTATCCCACCATCTCTCCCATCTCTCTGATACCATTCCATTTAGCTCTCTCACACTCCCAGATAATGCACACATGTTCACTCATACACAAACCCTACGGCACCCCTTCCCCCCATGAAAAAGTCAGCCAGCTGCTACAAAATTCAGACATTTCATTAACAGAGTTTACTGGATGATACTGCCAAGCAAAATAGAGACAATTAATAATAATCAGGACTGAAGGGTCTGAGACAGCTTATGAGTAAAGGATTGTATTAGCTGTTTAAAAAGGACAAACTCGCTCCTGCCTGGAGTGATAGGGAACAAAGGGCAGTGATGTATAACCAGGGAGGAAAGAGACTCTCTCTGTGGCTTTTGTAGATTACTGTGTGAATGACAGGAGAGGCAGGAGCAAATACCTCTTTTCATTTGCTCAGCCTGCTGGAGAAGAATAGCAGCTCTTGCCAATGAAGCTGCAGCTGTGCTCCAGCTCCGTTTAATCACTGTGTACGACTGAGGGTTAATTAGCTGCCATTCTTACTCCTATTTGTTGTTCTAATGAAGATTTGCATAAATGTAAGAGCAGGGGGTAACTGATACTTGATTCTTCCCTTCAGAGAGGCCAGGGGTGGAACACTTGCCCATCCTAAGTGTTTATGTTTGTGGGAGATTCAGTGTTGCCTTTCCATTTGACCTGATCTGCTTCTGGCTGATGAATGGTGAAAAAAGAGTTCAAAGTTGCTTATCAAATAGAGACCCCTGTTGTGTTTCTGCCTTTAGAAAGGACAGAGGGATTAGAAAATTACTCCCAGCTGACAGAGAGGAAAATACATATATGTATGTTTCTGTACCTACATATGTACATATACAAGATATATTTTAGTGATCTATCTATCAGTGATCTACCTATCTATCTACCTATCTATCTCTATCTATCTATCAATCTATTTACCTATCCATCCATCCATCCATCCACTCATTTAATGGCACATAACCAATCATTTTTAAATGATAAAATATCATAAAAATTAATGAGACAGGTAGTACAACTGTAACATATTAGGCAATAGGATGAAAAGTAAGGACCTGTAGATTTTTGCAAGCTTTCTGTTGTAAATCACTAACATTCAAAGTTCACTTTTTTAATAAAAAAAGTATCTATTATGAAAGAGGAGATCTCCAAGGAAGGCAAAAATGACTCAACAGTTCACATATACCTGCCATCAGTGCCTTGTGAGAGGGCACCACAGAACTTAAGAAATTGCATTCATTCCTCAAAAAATCAAAGGAAAATTTTAACATGAAGCAGTGACAAAATCCAAAACTACTTCATAATTAAACAGAAGATTTGAAAATGAAAGATCATAAAATTCTTTTATTTACCATGGTCAGGACAATGCTTATGGCTGGGAACTGAAAGAAGCTAAATGGAAGAACTTACCATTTTTAGTATGTTAACTTCTTGCACGTGATACTACAGTATAGTTAAGCGTTTTCAGTATTCCTCTTACACACTTGGTCTGCTAAAACTGTTGTTTAACAGCTTTGGTGAGGATTTAAGAAAAAGATTGAGAGGGCAGAAATAGCGAATTTCTAAATTTCCAATCACTGCTGGAAAAGGTCCAACTTTTGAGATGACTGTATCCCTCCTAAGAGAGGTGATCACCACAGAGCACACACGTATTGCCAGTTTCTCAATCCCACCAGCTTTGCAGTGGCTCTAGCTATTCACCTGTCTCTAAGACACATGAGCAAATATTAATTTGCTTTTCTTTACACTTCTGTCATGAATCTGCCTGACTACCTACAGAGGCACCTCTGCATATTTCGGGGTAGACACTACCAGAAACCAGTCTTTCAGAGATGTAAGCAAATGAGCATTCAATACTCCTGAAATAAATATGCCTAAAATGGTAACACTATCACTCCAGCTCTTAGCTAGAAGGAGCACCATAGGTTTTAAGCTTATATACAGTTAGAAATGCACATGAAAATAAAAACAGTCAAATGTATTTCTGCACATTCTCACCTTATTTTGAGTCTTGAAATATTTCAATATTCTATTACAGCTTTTGATTCAGCCCCTGATTACACCAGAATCTCATATGCTGCCTTTTTCAGAGCAATTTTTAGTCCTTTGGGCAAATTAGAAAGAATATGGAAGTGTACAATAAAAATAAACTAGAAACAACCCTCATGACATATAAACAGATCACTTAATTTTCCTTCAATGTTTCTTTAATAATTTCTACATACTGCGATTTTCCAAGGCTACAGTCAGAATTATCCATTGGTAAATAGGGTAAGAGAAAGTGGAAATTACAGATCTAATGGTCAATGGCAAAAAACAAACAAAAGAGCTGAGGGGAGAGGTTAAGTGCCGCGCTAGTTAATAAGAATGACAGCTTGCTTTGAATACTCATACTGACTGCCCAAGATATTGAATAAACCTCATTTAAACTAATTTTCATTATTTGTAGAGTCTGTGTTAGGCATCTATCATTGTCAGTACTATTAATATTCTTTCCAGAGACCATATTATCAGCATATTTAAAGGAAAACTTTCCTTTTCAATATTTATTAACTCATTAATATTTCTTGGTAGTAATATCCTGGTAGTAATATTCAAATTAGTGCACACTAAGGTATTTTCTACTGATTAAACTTTCTGAATCAAAAGATTTTTATTCTCCAGTACTAAAAATGCACTTGAGCTCCTGGAATTTTGCTTGTGTTTTATACTGTTTACATGAATGGCACACATGGTCTTATTTATATTAATGGGACTTAAAATCTACATTTTTGTCTTTTTTCAGTAGGTTCAGTAAACCAGAGCACTGACCACATCCTAGGAGTTGATCAAATATGAACTGCGAATAAACATGAATATGAAAGTTAATTTGTCTTACCCGGGTTGCAGTCTGTGAGGAGGGAGCAGATGGAGAGGAGAACTTTAGAAATGGTTAATGCTGGACTCCAGTTGTCTTTTAAAATGTCCAGGCAGATGACGCCTTGGCTGTTAATGTTACAGTGGTAGATTCTTGTCCGAAATGTTACCTAGAAAGGACAGTGTGTCTAAGTACAACAGTGTTCAAGTCAAAGATTACACAGTTATCAATCAATTAAAAAATCATAAGAACTAACATTTTGCTTTCCTGGTTGAAATGAGAGTATGCTGCTACTTTCAGTCAAAAACTGGGCAAGATAAAATAAAGATAATAAAGTCTGTCTGTTGCATCTCTGGTCAGCATTTGGAACTGGCTTATCCAAGATGAGAATGGGACATATTTCCTGAGCTTCCCCTTGCCTTGGTCTCATCAATCACATTATTTTTGTATGGGGCCAGAAAAACCTGTTCCACCGCCTGATCTGGACAACATTCATAATTCAGGTCCACTGCTCCTTCATGCTTTGAAGGGAGTCAGAAGACAGACTCTTCTGCTGTCCTCATCTGTTTATCATTTGACCCAAACCTTAAGCTGGAAAAAAAGGGTGGAGGCATCACATCAATGACTCCTGAAAAAGATGAAGTGAAACATTTTTGAGAAAGGCTGCTCAAATAAAATGTTTTTATTTCCAAATTTTGAGTTACAGTTGTACCAAAAGAACAACTTTTAGGGCTTTTCGGTAGTTGATTTTGAGGCTTTCTGCATCCATTTTATACTGTCTCCCAGCTGATCCTATACATAACAAAGCAAAGAGGAGAGCACTTCTTTTAGCCTAGAATGATGTCCTTCTGCTTCAAGTTGAAGATATAGGTCTTTTATTTTAAAAGAAGCTTAGCTAAGAAAGTTCACTTCAGAACGAATAATGGGGTTACTGGATAAGGAGGGACAATAAGAAAAAAACACCTCTTGGAGGTTATCAAGGACTAATTTATCCATCACTTCTACCCAAATGACAAGTCAAACCAGATGGTTTCAATGATGAGTTCATAGAACCTAAAATCAAGATGTACATTTTTAGGGGTCTACTCATCAGCAATAACCCTGCCAACAGAGGGGCTGATTAGACAGGAGACAACAGCAGGCAAAGCACACCCTGACTTAGGAAAGCCACGATCTCCATTAGAATTGGACAGTGCTAATAACTGGGAGTCCTTATGCACCTATCCCTGCTCTACCACACCGACAAACCTGCATCTGGAGAGTAATGGAAACTGATGACAGGGATGCTCCTGTTCTGATTTTCTTCAGTATCAGAGATCTCAGTGGGATTGAGATCAGGCCACTTAGCAGTAAGCAGAAGAGAGAATATAAGTGAAATTACACAGTATCTGGTTTATTTCTATTAAAAAAAAATCATTCTCTTAACACACTGAAAAATTCTGTCCCTTTGGATTAAATCAAGAAGCTTTGACAAAATAATGGAAAGAAAAGGTAATAGATTTCTGGTATTAAAACACTGCATTCAACAAGAAATACTTCTTCTCATAAGTACTTTTCAACATAAATTTGGGAAAGCACTTTTGGATGCACTGTCATGCATCAGTTAGTTCTATACCAAGGACCCCCCAAAAAGCAAGTTCATCAGTTTTTAAACTATGTCTAAAGGTATTGCTAATTAATAGGATAATTTCATAGTTTGCCACTCCATATCCTACATATTTATAGGTTCTTTCCTTTTTTTCCCTACAGTTGTGGTTTAGCTTCTTGTCTTACAGCCCAAGTGCTTTACTTCTGGGACTTTCATGAGAATTCAAAATATTTCTGGCACAATGATCTGAATTAATCGAAATGCTCTGGCCAGATGATCTATTTTTTCCTCCTCATTAGGAGGCCAAGCACATTTAGCATTTGGTGTGAAGGAAGTCTCCTGCAAAATCAAGAAAATTATTTATTTAAATAATAATTATTATCGAGTGATAAAATGAAATGTTTGTCTACAAAGGGAAGCTATTTTGAACAACGAAGGTTACAAACACACAAAAGCAGTAAACTACCTTACACACAAACTGCATGTCACAAATGTCCATAAAGGGAGCTGGTGTGGAGGAGCATCCTGTGAACTGCAGGTCAGTGCTCATAAAGTCCACAGTCAGGTTAACTCCAGGCACTCTTATACTCCAGTTAGAAGTGAATCAGGAAATGCTTCCTAGCAGGATGTCCCATGACTAAGGCAAACTTCAGCATCTGCTTAATTTTAAGTATTCTATGCTTACTTTTCAGTACAGTGTTGGAATAAACTTTTTGCTTAATTCTTTTACCTGAACAAAGGTGCTTTCCTATACTTCCTTGATGAAAAATTTGAGGACTTTATTTAGTGGCATCTAAATACACTCGGTAATAAGATATATATGGTCTCACTGAATGTGGGGGAAACACACTGAACCCATTACACAGATTAAATTATACCCTCTGAATTATTTATAGACAGGTCAGTCTGAGTTTGTAATGTGCTTAAGGGAAGGTCATCAATTTGAGCCTGCATTTTAACATGTAACTGTTTTGCTATCAGCTGAGAGGACAGACACATTGCCACATGTTCCTGCCTCAGCTACTTTTGAAGCACTGAAGCAAGGACATTGGGAATTTGGCAGGATTCAGAGAGCCACTGAGATGAATGGACGTAGTTCATGTCTTTCATAACCTGTTCAACACTCCATTGCCATCTCAGACTACCTGGTGTATAAATGTAGATGGGACTACATCTGTTTGCAGTTGGAAGGTTACTTTTAGAAAATGCTTAGACCTGAAATGTAGCATTTTTTCACTATGAGCACATATTAAACCCGTGACATTGAGAAGGATAAGGCTTGCAGCTTACCACTGACAAAAATATCATTGATTAGCCAAACATACCAGAGCACTTCAAAATGCCTGCCTAAGACAGAGGCATTTTTAATGTTTAAATAATCAATTTATGAATTGACAATTATAATGTTATACTTTATTAATTAATTTTAATATTGAAATAATAAATTCAATTAATTAATAAAAAGAATCACAGTTTTCGGAATTTCAAAAGAAGCTGTATTAATGAGAGCCTTAATATGCTGGAAACTGTGGACTGAAGGTGGCAGGTAATGGAGTTCTTACCCCAAGGTAGTAGAGTACAACTGGAATGACACATTGCTTTCCTCATCCAGGTGTTGCCTCAAATTGCTGATAATGTGGGAAATGCTGATATGTAACCTTCTGGATGTTGTGTTTACCATACTTACATTTTAAGGTTATGCAGGGTCACTCCTATTATACGCATAGAGAGAAACCAAGTGATAATACCATTCCAAGGGAACTGCATTTTCTTTATTATGGTCATATTTTTACCTTTGATGTCACTTAAATGTTTCCTCTAAACAGTGCAGTCTAATTCTATTTATCCCCTAATGAAAACACCTAAACAATCCCATGCAGGGGCTCAAGGGAGTGTGTGGTTGTACAGGCAGAGTTATCCTCAGACAGGTGAAGGGTAGAGGAGTAATTTATGGGGTTTTTTTGAACAGTAAGTGTCCTCTATGGATCTATTTTCTTTGATTCTGGAATTTAGAAGAGGGTACCTGATTTTTGTTGAATAAAAGTGTAGGTCGGAAAAATGCGAATTACGGGAAATAGGGAAAAATTGGACTAGCTACCTTCTGAAAACTGTAAGAGTACTATACACAAGCTTTTGAAAGGTAATGATAAGGAATTTATATTCAATCAGTTTTGGAGGAAAACAATAATAAACTCATCTGTTTTTCCACTGCTGAATGCCAAACCCTTCTAAATACTGTAAATCAGAATAAAACAGATAAAACCCCCCTTTATATAGTCTCTTAGAAGAAAATGAGGTTATCTATTCAAAATGGGGAGAAAAATTATCAGAGAGAAGAAAAAGGACATGAAAAGCTATGTCTGGCTGTTCATTGAATAAGCTTTAGGACTGAAAAAGACTGTTTATAAAGTTTGGGAAGAGGGAATTAAGATGGATTTTAGTTGAGTGATTGGAGGCAACTGGTTGAAGGCAATATAAATAATTTCTGGATATTGAACACCCGTTTTCCCGTATGAGGTAGTCTTAAAATAACTTACTATCTCTCTTTTGGACTGAATGTTCCTCTGTGAGGTCAAAACCCAAGCAGCCACTGTGGTGCTGGTATCCATGTGTGTGATTTGCTTAACCTTCACTGTGAGACTCAGAGAGGCACATAGGGGCACTGCAGCTCTGCAAGGGCAGATCCCTCAAACACATCACACACACTTCCAGACTTCACTGAATTCAGTTGCAACCTTCTTCAGAAACGTATCAGAGGAAGAAATGATTCTTTGGTGTTGCTTATTAGCATGCAAGGGGTTACAATGTGCGCTCAAGAATTGCCTTCTTCAGCCTTTTTGGGTTCAAAGCCTCACCTCCTGTTTCTCATTCCTCCCACTGGAGCCTGGTGACTGTGTAGGGAGAGATGAAAGATTCCCAGAGCCAATAGGAAAATAAACAAAACCAACCCCCTTTTGCTTGGCCAACACTAGAAGCAGAGCTGGGATCCCAGGGCTCTCAATCCCACGGTTTTGGAAAGTTCCTTTCAAGTCCTTTCATTTCTTACAAGGATGGAATCCTGCATGCCTGCCTGCGATGAAACTTCTGTCTTCCTTAAATATTCCCCTGGAGTTCTGTTTTAATAAAACAGTAGTAGCACTACCTGAAGTGGAAGAAGTTGTACTGCATACAGAAAAGGTTATATATATATTAAAAAATATGATGCCATTTATGATGATGTTCATGAAGCTCAGGAGGGAGTAAATCATTCCCATCTCAGTTTGTCAGACTTTATGAGCAATAGATTTGTCTGCTCAAACAGTAAAAACAAGATCAGGGCTACACTCTTTATCCATATGAGAAAAATACTCTAAAACAATCTAAATGAAAAATATCTATAGTTGTGAGTGAGACAATGTTCATGCAATAACCTTTACATTAATTAGCATCCTTTAATTTCTTACAGAGTGCACTTCATTTTATCTACACCCAGCACTGAGGACACCTTTCTAAGACAGGGTGGACCATCTCTGGTTTTAAGTACACATTTGTAGCATGCACCTGAACAATTCTCGAGATACTTGATGGATTATCACAAGAAG